AAGGCAGGAAGGCAGGAAGGCAGGAAGGCAGGAAGGAAGGCAGGAAGGAAGGCAGGAAGGCAGGGGAGGCAGGAAGGCAGGCAGGCAGGAAGGCAGGCAGGCAGGAAGGCAGGGAGGAAGGCAGGCAGGCAGGCAGGAAGGCAGGAAGGCAGGAAGGCAGGAAGGCAGGAAGGAAGGAAGGAAGGAAGGAAGGAAGGAAGGAAGGAAGGAAGGAAGGAAGGAAGGAAGAACGATAGATACACTTAAGTTTACCCATGGCAAATATGTTGCAGAATTTCTTCTGTGTAAAGTATCTACAGATCCCTAGAAAACATACAAATTTTATGAGCTCAGACATGAAAAGCCTTTGAAAGATCTTTAAGAGCAGTGTCCATGTGCTATTAAGATTTTTAATCTATACCTTTCATATTTTGTCAAATTGAGTTGTGGCTCGTTGACAGAGTGTTTTCACCTTGTGTGCAACACCACAGTGTCCCTACAGTGTCACCACTACAACTTAAAGGGCAAGGTTAAAATCTCAGGCGTAACAAAATGTACCTGGTTGAGACATATCTCAGAAAAATTGACTGAATATTTTAAGGTGTGCAAAAATATTTATGAGTTAAATTAGCTCTTTACTAATACCAGCTAATTAGTCCTCACAGGAGCACACTTATGGGCAAGATCATATTAGTATTAGTGATAGTCTAACAGACTGAAACATAAATGGGTAAGTGATATATGTCTGAGGCTAAAAAGTGAGAAGGGGCTACCAGGGGTGTTTAAACTCATGGTTTCCATTCTTGTGCTTTGACTGTGCTGTTTTACTTCCAAATTTTCATACAGTTTTTCAAAAGATACCTAGTGATTAACCATTAACATATGCTTTCCTGACACCACACCATACCCCCAACCCTCCCAATGAAAAGAAAAATCCTAAACAACCTCCAGACAAATAGTTCTGTTTCTAAAGGAGGTTCAGTACAGTTATTTTCTAATTGCAGACAAAGCTTTTTGATATTTACAGAAAAATACAACTACCTTGAATAAAACAGTGAAACAATATGGCAAGAGTGACCACAATAACTATAGGAATCAAAAAAGAAGGAACAAACTCCATGTAAAGGGAAGATTATCTTCCTCAAAGCTGGTCTAGTTCTTGCAAAATGGTTTAGACTGACAGGTTTGGAAACCGAAGGGATAGCCACAGGTTTGTGATAACATAAGCAACTGCACAATACTTATCATGTCATCACACCATTACAGGCCATGTTCTGTGCTGAAGAGATGAAATGTTTCGTCATTATTCTTACTGCACTCTAGGTCTCTGATGAGATCACCCAGAAGTGCTACTTTCAGTAAAACCAAGCTGAGCCCCTTAATAAATTTTTAGATCATGTCAGATGATACAAACTCCACCACAAGAACAATTCTGATAAATACAGATTCTCACAGAGATGCATGCTAAATTGAAGGGAGGGAAATGCCATTCAATTCAAAGTAAGTATAAGTGCCCTTCTTAAAAAAAAAAGATGGTTCTGACATTAGTATCACTAACACTGAAGAAAATACTTTGCCTAGATTTGCCTAAAAATATCAGTGAGTAATTTTCTGTCCACAAGACAGAGATGATCTCTTCTACATAGCTTAAGCAAAATCTGAATGAAATTAAGAGCAGGACTTGTGAGCTTTTAATAATTTTTGGAGGTTTGTCCCTTTTTCTTTACTTTTTAGAATGTGCTGTTCAATTTTGGGTAATAAACAGGTTTGGTTTTTTTCTTCTATGTCAATAATCTGCTCAATTTATCTACACATGATGCTTAAATTTCCAAACAAGTTTACCAAACCCACTTGACCTCTAACAGAAACATAGTGAAATAAGAATGCTGAACAGTGATTCATCAGTGAGGAATTATTTCTATACCTCAAATGAATTTCTCATTAAAAATTATATTGATTTATATTGTGCATACTACAAAAGAGTGGGGTTTGTTTGGTTTTTTTCCTATATATATAATTCAATTTTCGTTCTTTTCTTTTTTAGACTTTCTATATTACTTGTTCCTATTAGCCTGGGAGGAGAGATGAGAGTGCAGTACAGGTAAGACTACAAAGGTTCATGTATTTTGGAAAAATGCACCCTTACTGTTCTAATTTCCCTTTCTCACAAACACACTGAGCTTGAACAACGTAAAACAAAGCAAAGCAGATCTCTCCACTCAATTTAACAAAACAAAGTAGCTGAGATTTTGAAGAAAATAAAAAAGATGAAAGAAAAATGTCATTGAAACACCTTACTTTTTTGCTATAAAGTTTCTTTTTGTTAAACCAGAAGGTAAATTTTGCTTATAGTTTCTGTGGAATCCACAAATGTTTTCAGGGCTTCATGAGTGTACAGAATAATAAAAAAAAATAATAAAAAATCACCAAAAAAAACAGAGGCTTGTAACTCATAGGAACATAGTGAAAATTCATTTAGAAATATTTTTCTTTTATTTTCTACAACTGGAAATACTGATTTATTAGATATTGATTCCTACTTTTGGAAACAAAAATACTGAAATGCATAAAAAATACTAAAAAGAGGAAATCTATATTAAGAGTTTCCTCTAGAAAATGTAATAGGAGTTAAGTACTCAAGTGGACATAAAAAGTAAGAATAATCAAAATGCACAGCAAAACAATACAGCGACAAGCTGAAACAATGGAGCATTTCTGATTCTGCTAAGAAAAATAATGTTCTGGGTCAGTAAATACAGAAAAGGAACACATTCTCACTGAAGGAATATTTTATTGTATGCTGAAATATCCCTTGGGGGTTTGTTTGTTTGTTTTTGCTTTTGTTATTGTTATTCGTTTTGTAAAGAAAAGAGACTACAACATACATCCTAATGGCTTTGGCTGTAGATTGAGCTTAAGTAAATACCATCCCTCAGTCAGTATGTTGTGGTAACTAAGGCTGCCAGTGTGGTTTACCAGCTCAAGCAACATGTGTAAACACCGGAAACAAAAAAATTCAGAGGGCAGCCTCCTTTCTCTCTGCCTTTCTCAACTGCTCGCTCCTTCTCTGTCTCCTGGTTGTGCTCGCTCTCTTGCTCACTATATTTCTTGGACTTTTGTTATTTTCTGACAAATCATGCGAGTGAAACACAAAACATAAACACAACTAGACATCCTTTTTCTTTGTCTTCTAATTTTATCCAAAGGGAAAGTTACCCAATAAAAAGTCCAGCATATGTTTTCAGAGCTACTAAGTGCTTCTGCCATTAATTTCTCTTGATTGCTTCTATAAAACATGCCTTAATCATACTACAGCACTTTCCATTGCAAAAAAGACAACTTTACAGAACAACATAGTTAACATTATTTCCCTGTTCATTTTGATTTTTTTTTTAAACACCACAAAAATCCAGGCTATAATAAGAAGCACACAAAATTATATTCATCTTTGTTCTGTGACAAGTAGTATCAGCATTTATATCCCCAAATATTATGCATGTTTGACAAAAAAAAATTCTACTGGTTCACATGACAAAATTCTGGTTTTTTTTTCTTTTATGCAATGTAGTTTATAAGGAATAAGGATGCACTATTGTTTCTAGTAATAATTGGCACTTGAAAAAAGCACCAAGAATTCTGTATTTCACTTTACCCCTTTTCCCTCCCCAGTATTTTTCTGTGTGTAGTCCAAAAACTACAACTGTGGTTATGGTGAATACTACATTTTCTTTTTTCAAAATGTGTGCAAAGTTGGCACTTTTGTATTAACACTAAACACTAATACTCTTTGTTTGGCATTCATGCCCTCATACTGACCAGATCACTTTTATCTAAGTGTATTTTTTTTAAAGACACTTACTGAAAATATGGCAATAGTTTAAGAAAAAAAAAAAAAGCATGGATATTATTACACATCCCCTTGTAGTGTACGAAAAAGTGCATGACTGGATTTATGTAATAGTACAAGACAAAAAAACTGTATCAAATCAGGTACTGTAAAGCATGCCAGCACCTCTGTAGTACTTATATCTAGCAGGTAGTTAAAACAAGACCGTGGTTCTTTTAAAAATGTGCATTAAAGCTAACATAAATGAGTAAAACTAGGCAGCAAACTATTTTTCCTGCTTATCTAACAGCTGAATGTAACTGTAAAAATTAAGCAAAAAAAATTAGAGTTAAACCACCATCAATACAATTGTTTTACATCATAGGCCTGTCAAGGCTCAATATATATATACAAGTGTAACAGCCATGCTTAGTAGAACGTTATCCCCAATGCTTAGAAAACACAAAGACAACTAAGTAGATTGTTTTTTCTTTCTCTTTTTTGTTTGTTTGCATTTTTTTTTGTGTTTTTGGGGGGTCTTTTTGTGTGTTTTTTTGTACTTTTTTTGTTTGTTTAAGGTTTTTTTGTTCTTTTTTTGTGGGGTTTTTTTTGGTTTTTTTTTGGGGTTTTTTTGTTTTTTTTTTTTGTTTCAGGCAAAAGTTACAGGAAGAGCAAACTGTCTCTTTGGAGATGACCAAGAACATTCTAACAGAACTAGGGACAACTGCAGGTTTTCTGTTTGGTTTTTGATTGTTTGTTGGTTATTTTTGTTTGTTTTTTAATGAAGGATCTCTTCCCTCAAATTAAAGGTCCTATGTTTTTGTTTCTATTAAAAAAAACGGAAAAAGAAAACCCCAACAACCGACAAAGGGGAAAAAGCACCTGGTGTTTCTTTCTTTTGCTAAAAAAAGAAAAAACTATATATATATATATATGTATATTTATGTATGTGTGTATAGATATAGATATATATATATACACACACATATATACATATACATATACATATACATATACATATACATATACATATACATATACATATACATATACATATACATATACATATACATATACATATATATATATATATATATAAAGGGAGACTGTATATGGCAGTTCAGATGTAGTGGGCCCTCTCTGAGAGCTGGCATTATGCTGTGTCCATCCGTGACCTAATCTACTGACGTGAAAGGAATGTTTTTATGCAGATTGGGGTTCTGGCTGTGCCGGTTTCGGCTACGGACAGAGGAGAACATCATGTTGCACCCAGGGACTTTGCACTTGTGCATTTCTCGCAAGTGCACTGTTTTATAGTGCACTCTGAGGGTTCCCTTGTTGCTGTACATTTTGTGGCAAATGTTACACATTATCCCACCGTTGCTCACCGAAACGCTGTTGAACATGAGGGATCCTGGGACATTGGTGCCCATACCTACAGCTAAGGCAGGGGCATCTGCTTTGTGGGCAGATTCCCCGCTGTCACTTGCCCCATCGACGTCGTCCAGGAGAATACCCTCATCGCTTCCTGCGTCAGATTCTCTTGAGGAATGGATACTGCTGCTGGACTGGATGCTGGAGGTGGTGCTCAAGTCTAGTACCATATAGTCTTCTGCCATGCCCCTGCCGTACCCATTCATGTGGGAATCCTCAGTACCAGCAGGCGAGGAGGTGTCTTCCCTTAAGTCAAGCCCCATCTGATGCTGAGCGCCATATATCTTCACCAAAAATTCATCGCGGAGGTCCTTACTAAGAGAAGGCTGTGAAGTGTCCAAGCCCATGTCATCCAGTTCTTTGGTCAACAGTTTACGGTGCAGGTTTATGTTAGCACTGTGTCTGGGAAAGGAAGAGGGAAGGGAGAAAAGGAAAAATGTACAGTATTTTTGATTAAACACAGAGTCAACAAGCACCAAATCCAAATTATCATCTATTGATAATTTCTCATAAAAATGTCCCCAATCTATATTACTTGGAAATGTCAGCCTTTCTATAAGTGGACAAATTGCAACCTAAAAACTAAACAAAAAACCAAATTCCCCCCATATTGTTTTTCTTTTTAGCTGCTGTCCTCAGCATTAGTCCCCAACAGCAGCTATTGAAATTTATTTGAAATTTACAAATTAAGAAATTGTATTAGCAGAAAATACAAAATGCTCTTCTTGATTCCTGAATCCTTGCTGGCTTTCCTTCTCTTCAAGAGGCAAAAAATACTAATATATGGAATATATGTATGTGTGTCTATCTGTGTCTTACTATGGATCCGTGTCTTTAGGTATTTATCTATCCAGCCATCCATATATATGTGTATATATATATATATATATATATGTATATATATGTACTTACATAATTCAGTAAGTGAAATATAGGAGGGGAGTAAAATAGAAGTAACCAAATAAGGCATTGTCAGAGGTCCTGATTCTGGTAATTTAATTAATTCTCATATAAAGGTATTCAGAATCAGGCCAAACAAAGATGGAGAAGACTTGAAGGGTTTAAGAGAACAAGTCTTTGAAATCTATATACAAGTTTCTGAAAATCTTAGCCAAAGTTGGTGGTTTCATCCTCCTAAGTTGTCACTGCCACTCCTCCCTGTCCTTCTCCCTGTACTGTCTGTATGCAGTGCTGATTGGCTGAAGCAGTGTAATGTCCAGTAAAAGAAACCTATTAATGGCAGTGAGAATTTTGCCCCAATCAATCAAAAAACTTGAGCATGGGTTTGCTTTAGGTATTTGCTAAATTTATTGCAGATATTAAAGACATTTTAAAACTGCCATTGATGGAAGTGGATTTTAAACCAGATCCCAAGAGCTGCAAATTAAGACTCTTAAGTACTTTACAGGATCTGTGCCTTTGCTCTCAAGAAATAAAGCTCTACATTTGCAAACAGTGTAAGCTTTTAAGTTAGTAAACAAGTAAAGTAGCCTATTATTTGAAGCTGCATTCTACTCTCCACTTTTGGCATTGGCTTTATTCACCCATTGCAGTAGAACCTCACTGATTTGCAGTACTGTCAGGAAAACCCTCTTTGAAAAACTGTATTTTCTGAATTAATGATACAACCAACAAACATGACAGACATCAAAGACCTCTGACCACAGAATATACTCATTTTGCTGAAGTGCTTAAGTATAAGAAATCAGGGTAAAGTTTTCAGTAATAGAAAACTTTAGGGTTCAGTTTTCAGAATGTGCAGCATTGCTGAGTAAATGACAAATATTTATTCAGTTTCTTTGGAGGGTGACTTGAATTTTGAGTCAGCAAAAAAAGAATTAGCGAAGTTCTACTGCATAACATTCTTTGCAAGCTAAGGACCCAAACCCGCAATTTACAACATGCAGACTCACCAGTCTGTCTGCCCATTATAAATTGCAGATCAGAGCCCAAATGTAGGAGGGAAAAGAAGATTGGGAGGGGGGAGGGAGTGGGAGGAGGGTGGGGAAAGAGAGAGAGAAAGAGAGAATTTTAACATAGGAATAGCTTAATTTGCAAAAAGCACTAGGTACAAAATTGGCATGGGAAGACATAACAATGATCAAATATTTTACAGACATTCAGGTCCTACATTAACAAAAAAGGGAGAAGAGGAACAATAGCTATTAGCAATATTTCCTTATTGGAAGCTTTTATTTTAAGAAACCCTTTGAAACATACCTCTCAACCAACTGAAGTCCAAAACATGGTACAGAAATACAATACAAAAAAGCAAATGCAAATGTAGGAAGATTAAATTCATGTGGAGTAAATCTCTTTAATTTTCTAACACTTTGTGTTTCATTTATCTGTTGCACATAACTTAAGGGAATAAATAAACAGCAATAGAATTAATCTGCTCACCTGCAAGTGCAGGTAACTTCTCTGACATAAAACTGATACTGAAATGCAGTTTAATTGAATTGTGTGTGTTTGGGATGCTATTATTCCAGTTAGGGGCTGGTCTAGAACAGGAGATTTCTCTCTTAATGAGAGAGAGTTGAGAGGTATGGGCAAGGGTGGAAAAAGTGGAGAGTATTTCTTGCTTTTATCCCACATGGGAAATACTCTTTTCACACAAGCAAGTATAGCACCATTGCTTTTTTGAGGCATAGAAGTGTAATTATGCATATCCCCACACTGCACTTAGGAAGGCTGAGCTTACCTTGTGATAAGATCAGCTTTCTAATCTTTTGCTAAATTGAGATCACAAAAGATAGAGAGAGAGGAGAGAAGAAAAGAGAAAGAAATGGGAAGGGGGAGGAGAGAGAGAGAGAGAGAGAGAGAGAGAGAGAGAACAAATTCACATTCCAATCCAGACATATCTGGTTTTTAAAAAAAAATCTGAAACCAATAAAACACAGACTTAAAAAAGTCTTGACTGTGAAACTGTTTTTTTGTCAGCTGTAATATCACTTATATTGTTGTCCTGATGGATACTGATTCAATCACACAATACAGAAAACATAAAGCAAATTAATCAAAGCATATTCACAACATACCCATTATTATCCACAAATGAGCTCTGAACAGTGCATGCATACATGAATGATAAACAGTAGTCCTGATGGTCCCTTGCCTTCCTGGTTTCAGATGGAATGTAGCTCCATGTAAAGCTGCTAAGTGCAGTACAGGAAACGCTTACTGTGAAGGCCTGTCCACACTGACCAGGGTTATTAAATGACCATAAAAGCACGTTTGTGCTTATCATCATAAGGCTAACTGCAAACTATTCATAAAGTACTCATGTGTATACTTATAATTTCCCCCTTTCTCTCCCATCTTCACTGCTATGCTCTGGGAATTTGTTTCAGCATAAAAGCTGGTCAGGATAACTGAAACTCTTGCTTCCATGCATTTGTGCTTACTATTTCCTTGGTTTGCTGTTGAGAAAAACAACAGTCAGGCATGCAGTGAAAATAACGTCACCATTCACTAAATGAAGAGATAAGAATAAACTACCAGGCTAAAGAGGGGCTACCAAGCCTCAGATGGACAAAAGCCAACCTGAGAAAGACCAGTGTAAGGATGCAAACTCTGCTGATACTCTGATAAGAAGAGATGCCTCCCTTATTCAATTCTCACTTACAGCAGTTGCAATCAGTAATCTAGTTAAAGTATGTACCAGCCCATAATATCTGTCAGGCAAACGATGTGCAGAAATGTGTGGACCAGTTCTGGCACTCTGCTCAGTAGTGTCCCTTTTCCGCTGTCAGCAGTACTGTTGGATTCTCCTAATATAATTACATTGACTTTTATTCAATTAAGTGCCATTCCTAGCCTTAAAAAGAAGCTACTTTATCAATTGATTCAGGTGTAATGCAATAATAAAGATGAACTCATGGCAGTGCATTAGCTCTGCTGTTCATAACTTCTGAACATAGGTTCATTCATAGCAGTCGATTTCCATTATGCAACCACAGTTCAAAAGAATTGATTCTTTTACATTCATTTCTTAATCTATTTCAGTTGTGTTTAATATTCTCCCTAAATATATGTGAAAACATTCTGGTGGAGAAGGAGGTATGACTTGTGAAAAAATATTCATTTATTTAGATACTGAAGTTTTGAAATCTTATTAAACCCCCCTTCTCCCTACCAAACAGAGATTTTCCATCCTAATCCAACTCTTTCTCCTCTGCTTTGTCACTCCCAACCCTAGGAAGTCCCCTACAAGCCCTCAGCCAATGCTAACCACCTGTCATATTGTTCATTGCTCCTCCCCATGACACCTGAAGTTTCTTGCTTCAGCTATTCTGTTCCCTGATTTGATTTACAAAGCTGCTTACCTCTTCCTCCTCCAGATACTGCTCCCAGGTATGTGTAAACAGTGGTCCCTGGGTAAGCTGAGGCATACTTTGGGCAGAGTCATTTGTGCCAGTGCATGAACACTGCCATGAAACACACAGAAAATCCTGAAGCAAAATATGCCAAAACCTGCTGAGCTTCAGCCTGCCATGGCTTCATTACTTCTCATACCTCAGCTAGCTAATTTAAGGCCATCTCTGGTGTCCTTTGCACCACTGCAATTACTGCTGTATCTGCAGGGAAAAGAACTTAAAGAACATAAATGTTTGGCAGAAATATATATGTGTGTATGAAACAAAATATTTGACCTAATTAAATCCTTTGAATGCCTCTGGTCTTCCTAGATTGCTTATTTGTACATCAACTACCAGAATGGCATTTGATCCTCACAGTGGAAATGTTACGTAAAGACAACTGATGATTGAAGTCTTTCAGGCAGAAATACGCCATCAAATGCGTTTAACTAAAGGCATTTCTTACTTTACTTCAGTCACTATACCTAGACATTCCTGGGCAACAAGGGATGGTGAAGAGGGTTTGTTCTGAAAATACTATCTGGGGCAAAGAATGTCCAAACACCTGTTTAGGTCTGTACTACATGTCAGATAACTTTAAAAATGAGGAGAGTATTTTTCCAAGATGGTCTGAAATGCAGCTTGTTGTGGCAAGCTCAACTTGTTGAGCAAGTTCTAGAACTCAGAATACCTGTTTTTTTGATAAATACCACTCTTTTCAAGTTACTATTAATTAATTACATACATGGAAGGAAAAAGTATGTGCAAAGCCCTCACTAGAGTGAATTTGGCTTTAAGAATGGAGAAGTGCTGCCATGAGGATGATGATGATAATGATGATACACATAAAATCAGTGGTTGTGGTGAAATGTCAGCCTCTGAGTTCACCACTGCCTTTTCCCACAGGAGTTTTAGCACTCCTACAGCAGTTACAGAAGCTCCCTGACTCTGGGCATGATCCCACTGGTGGTAGTACTTTCCTTCTCTTGTGAAGTTCATGAAAGTATTCTTAACTAGAATTCATTGTTGGTTTCACCCCAC